CACAAGAATCTGCGAGTCTACAGATGAAACGCGTTACCAGCGCATCGGTAGCTAAGCGCGGAGCATATCGACGCATGAGCAATATGAAACGAAACACTGAAATCCCCTTCAAGAGCCCAGAGTGGCAAAAGGTAGAAGTCCAGCGCAAAAGTGTTCGTTATAATAGGTTTTACAACTAGGAAAGTACCTCTCGCAAGTCATTACCGAGAACTAGCGGACAAAAAAGTATGAGGCATGGTGTACTTACAATGCAAATGTAAGGAAACTAAAGTGGATAAAAAGATCACCTGCCGCCGGCAAAAACCAAACCTTTAGATGTAGCAGGTACTGGCCAGAACGAGGTTAAAATCTTCTCGTCTACTTTTCTAGAAGAACTGTGCGATGTCTGTGCACGTTAAAGACTAATATGTGGTAGACATTACCGGAGCCTTCCACTACGGGTCTGTCGTAGTCATATCGCGCTTTTTGGACGTCAGACCCCACGTTCTACTGTTGTTATATATTGTTACACGTATTGGAACACATTTGTCGTAATTCGTAAAAAAATATTACCATAAACGCACAAGACAGCTATAGAGAGCACAAGATAATAAATAAAAAGACCAAGGACATTTGTCGCTATTCGAATATTCAGGGCATTGAAGCAGCAGGACTCGGACTCGATTTTCATGGCGAAGCTCTTTTGCAAATCGTTCCTCGTTTGTGGATCCAGAAGGCTCTCGTCATCGTAAACGGGAGTTTGTCACATAAATTGGGCTAAACCGCTGTTGTACCTGCACTGCATCCTATACTAAAAATGTAGAACGGGACAGTAAACCCGAAAAATGGCCGCAAGACGGCCGAAGACACCGAGTACGTATACAACGAGAGAATACGATAGGGTGCGGCAACGGCAGCTGCGAGAGGGGGCTCCAACGACGATGTGCCCGCGACCACTTGGTTTAAGTGCGAGTTTCTGTATCTCGAGGTTGCACAACCGTGTCACGTCTTTGAGGTTAAACTCGATGATTTCTGCATTGGCAATCAACGTAGAAACAGCCCAGAGAGAAGCAACCAGAATAGTCTTCAGAATCGTGCAGTCTCACAGTTTCAAGCCTTGTGCGGCTTAGCGCTAGGCTTTGCCAACTTATTATTTCATCTACACCAGGTGAAGAAACAATCAAATGGAAGACGTTGGACGAAAAAATTGCAAGAGAAAGCGCTATTGCGTAACAAGTGTAAACCGGTTTCGAGACATTCGAGGCGAGCTTTGCCGCAATAGTTTCTCAGGTTATGCTATAGGTCTAGACGGTCAACAAAACTATGCACTACAGTAACAAGAGAAGCTGCCACGGTGCCAACACCGTCGTCCGCACAGGGTGTTCTCTGCGTCATCGTTTCTTTTGAGGTAGCCGGCGTGCGAAGCGCTCCGTTGCTCGCTCGTGCACACACAAAGCGCTTCATATTCCAAGCCATTCTAGTCCGGGCGCAATCATCGAACCGGGGTTCGTACAAACCCGCGCGCGCGCAAACACTTCTTCCGGGCCTTCCAAACGAAGGGTTTCGCGATTCATTGGGATGAGTCTAAAACAGTGCGCAAGTCATCTGATGTCCTTCATGAAGGATAAGTTTTGGGCCTTGTCCGCTTTGTCTTTATCGGCCTAATTGTAGTGTGCGCGATTCATCAACTCTTCTGCGTAGTTTTCTGACCGGGCTAAAAAAAGAAGCGTTGGCGGGCTGCTTTAATGCTTGCGCACAATATCACTGTAGCTACAGCCCCGCCGCGGTGGTCTAGTGGCTAAGGTACTCGGCTGCTGACCCGCAGGGCGCGGGTTCGAATCCCGGCTGCGGCGGTTGCATTTCCGATGGAGGCGGAAATGTTGTAGGCCCGTGTGCTCAGATTTGGGTGCACGTTAAAGTACCCCAGGTGGTCTAAATTTCCGGAGCCCTCCACTACGGCGTCTCTCATAATCATATAGTGGTTTTGGGACGTTAAACCCCACATATCAGTCATCACTGTAGCTACAACCCGTGACCTTGTAGGCTGAAGTTTTGTTTATAATGTCCAGTATCGACGGTCTGAAGGAACATCCGGGGCACTGTACACATATGACTAATTCCTGTCTCCGACAGGCTTACTTGTGCTCGGAGGCGGTGCGGGTTTATAGCCACCCCCGAGAGGTGGCACCGCGCTGCGTCACCACGCATTGGGGATGACGGTAGTCTACACACACACACACACACACAAAACTTGCAGAAAGACGTAAGGCTTGGCGAGAATCGCCTCTCGATCAATACCTGGTTATACTCGGGCCACAATAACAACTGACATGTTTGCTACACTTTTTTTTTCTGGCACCAGCCTCTTGAGATGGCTGCGACGCACGCTCAGGCTCGAGTCTCCGGATTAATATCAACCATTTAGGAATGTGTAACGAGCGCCTTAATCAAAGCACACGTGAGTTCTCTGCAGTTCGTCCACACTGAAACGCGGTCTCCGAGGCCGCAAGTCGATACAACGCTCTCGAGCTCTACACAGGACACCGCTCGTGCTTGATACCCACTAGGTGGGTATCTAGCACGGGCCATGACAAAGTAGTGCGGAGAGACCGGTTGAGTTCCTTGTATTCTAGGGAGGCTGAAGTCGAAACATCGACCAGAGACGAAGTACGCGAGCGAGATCGGAGTCCGCTTTGTTACCACACACACAGACACACATGTACACAAACACACACACACACATGCAGACACACGTATGCGCGCACGCAAGAGGGTCTTTTCTACCTTCGCTTAGGCAGATTCAAAGTCCAAAGCCATCTTCTTTTTCCCCCCGTTCATGTACCAATGCTGCCCGCTACCCTTCGAAAGCTTTTCTGCACCCAACCTGGTCTGGAACTGCCTTCATGATCGCATCACATCTGACCCAGCTACGGTGTAGCGCGATGACGTCAGGTTGTGATGTGACGTCACTATGATGTCACGATTACGTCACAATGCTACAAATTTTGCCATCTCTGACGTCATCCTGCGATGAATTTTCGCATTGCTCGTGCCCGAAGCCACAGGTTGCCGACATTCCACCTTGAAGTTTTATGGGGCATTTAATGCTTTCGCCTCAACGGCCCCTCATCCAGCCCCACGTTCGAAGACGAAGAGGGTTTCGTGCTCACCTTGGCTACTCTTGCTGTACGGGCGATATCTCCACCACGCCACTTACTTCTGGAAAGCACGCGCACAATGTCAGCACTAAGCGTCTAGCCGATCGCGCTTGTCGGCTACGTGGCGCTATCTCCACCTGCGCCGTCGGAAACGCACTAACTGGAGCGAAATTGCTAGATCGAATGATCAATCATGCGAGACAAGCAAGAACGGATGGGCGGCTTCGTGGCAAAGCAGTGCAAGGCGCAATTCACACCTGACTTTTCGCACATGTAGACGAAAGCGGAGCAGCGGCGTAGCCAAGGGGTGGCACACCAGGTCCGTCCCCCGAAATATATTTTCCCAGAATAGGGAGCGAAAAATCGCCTTTTGAATGAAGTACCCACTCTAAAATCGAAAATGTGCCCCCCTCCCTCAAAGAAAAAAAAAAAATCTGTCTCCGCTCCCAACGCAGTGTGTGCACTAGATATACATACTACGAAGTGCACCTGAAAGACTAGAAATGTTAAGAGAAAATAACACGCCATCGGTTTTCCTTTTTGCTGTTTTTTTTAATTTCGAAGGCTGATGAGGAGTTCCTCGAAAAAAAAAAATCGGTGAAACGCAGACTCAGTTCCCCTAGCCGGTTAGCAAACAGTGGCTCGAGACGATACCACTCTGCACGATGACGCACTCGACGAAGCGCGCAGTGCAAAGTATCCACAGTAGAAGAGATCGATTGCACAAATGACGTAGACAAGAGGCGCTTTGGCCGACCTTCGACCCACGCCGAGCTCGGCCTTGCCATACATGGAGAACGAAGCAGCAAAACAAGCTCACGGCCAGGAAATCTAATTTATTCCCAGCCGAAACTCGAGCCGTCCCTCAGGAAGGAAAGGGCCACTCGTATAGAGCACGGCTATAACGGCTATAATTCGACCGACCCACAGCGGCGATAAAAACGTCGATGGCTACGGGTCTAAACCGATTGCTCTATTCAGGACTGATAGTTGGGCTAGTTGGTGATACATTATGATACATTATGAGAAGAGACACAAACAGCACTTGTTTGTGTTTCTTCTCTTCGTCCCGTGAGTTTCTGCCCATAATGCTCGATTACCCCTAAGAAATTGTCGGTGGGAAGTGGTGTAAGAGACGCCATATGTAATAAGGCAGACGTTTGGCGCGTAGCACGTCCAGATCGAGCATCGCAGTGGCAGCGTGACATAGCCGTTAGAAAACAAACCAATGGATCTCATCTCGCGCAGCATGCCCCCCTCTCCCTTCCCTACAAAATGCAATAAAAAAGAAAAAACTCTGAGGAACCCTTATGCAACCACTTTTGACGACTCCAAGGCACAAAGTCATCTTTTCCTTGGCATAAAATAATATATAAGAGTGCTTAGACACAGCACGAAGGCCGGAAGTGAAGCACACGGATATGCTTTATATTTTTATCACGGAACCCCACCAACTGCTCCAATCAGCGCGTCGTGTCCTTCTCTCTCTCAGCGCATGTACTATGCTGCTGTTCTGCCCTAGCATTATGCACCTAATGTTGCTCTGCACTGCACCCTCAAACATGGGAGGCCCCACACCTGGTTTCGCATGGCCTACAGTGATCGGAACACCACCGACCACGCGAAGTCATGACGGCATCATGCGACGTTACTTCGCGTGGCGTCGTTGTGACGTAACAAGTATTCCACATTCTTGAGGTCATCGTGACGCCACATGGTGGAGTCATCTCGTGGTCATTTTATTTTCCCTCACTCATCAGCGACGCCGTGGGGCGCCTACGGTCAAATCTCGCGTCCGATGAGGCCTCTAAGAAGCGAGGCGCTGTTCTCGCCTTATCCTTAGCCGCACGGAAAAAAGCTTACCTGCAGCAGCTCCTTGACGACCTGGAAGCGGCGCCTCTCGTCCGGGAAGTCGTCCAGTCGGCGAGTCATCCGGGCCAGTAGCCTTTGTATGACGCCCGCCGTCTGAGCGATGTCACCACCCAGCAGCGTCTTCGTGCGAGTAATCACCTCCAGCTCCACTGCCAGGTTGACCACCGAGTCGTCCTCATCGGCCTGTGAGTTACATCAACAACGACACTCACTCGAGCTCAACTACCAAACAGCGCCACAGGGTTATAGCCAGTTCAACAAAGTAATTCCTTGGAGTAGAAGTTATGACTCAGTGCAGGTTGGGAAAACCTGGAGCCGCCCCTTCGCTCCACGTCACGCAACGTGATGCTTCCGCAGACAGGCGTCAAAGATACGACGGCTCCACCGGAGCCCCACCGCTGCGCTAGCACGTGACTAGGCGAAGGACTTCTTCCCGGGCGCTTGGTCACCTGTTTGCGTAACCTTGGCAAGAACAGGCTGAACGCACATTTTGCACGCGATGACTACGTGCACACGAGTATAAATTTCCATCACTTATTACGCAATACTAGCCACCTTGAGTTCTGTGGTGGTGATATTCGTTCGTTTGTTGTACCTTGATATTTGGAACACCCTCGAACGTGGCGATCAGCTTTTTATTGAAGGAAAGTCTTCGAGGGCTCGTTTCTTTGCTAAAAACCATCTTCTTGAGAACCAGCAGACAATGAAGCCAAGGAAGGTAATGGGAGGGTAATTTTAACTGCTAGCAGCAAGCTGTCCATTGTCCGCGTTTATTTCTTGCCATCTATGGCACAATTATTACAATGCACTAGCAAGAGTATATATATATATATATATATATATATATATATATATATATATATATATATATATATATATATATATATATATATATATATATATATCTTCACATTTACAATACGTTTGGGTCTACTAACTTCCCCTATACATTGCTTGGCATTATTGTCTGTTAGATCTCATTATATTGTGTCAAAACCACGAAAAAAAAAGCCCTTAAGTACTACTTTCCTGTATATACACATCGGCTCAGCATGCTACGCAGAGGCGCCAGAAAAAGGAAAGGCAGCGCACCCTCGACTTGAGGTTCTCCATCCAGGCGGAGTAACAGGCACTTAGGTTGGGAGTGTCGTGTTCCCAGTACGGCGGGCTACCCGGCAGACAGCGCCATCTGGCGTGACCTGTAACGAGAAAGCACATCACCTTTTTCAGCAGTGACAGCTACGGCCCCATCACGCACACGCCACGGCCCAAGGCGACGGTGCGTAAAACGAACGTGCGTCAGGACAGTAAACCAGTTTATATGAATGTTTACACACTAGTTGAAACAGGGATGCCAGTAATTTGACTATTATAGGCGTGCTATAGTAGACGAGAAAAACAAGCTCAAAGCTTCATTCAAGTTCAAGGGGTGGAACGGGCTTCGTTCCTTTAGAGCAGCTCAAGGAGCAGTTTTGACGCAGCTTTGCAGAATTAAAAACGGGAGTTTCAGAGCAGCGTTGGAGCACGAACTCGTGTATTTTGAAACATTGCAAGTTAAAGGGATACTGACACCTTTCTTCGGAGGAGAGTTTACTCTGCCATACAAATCACCTGTATGCAGAGACGGCTCTGAACAAGTGTGACGGTTAGCAAATGTCGATAACACATTCTATTTTGATATTTAAAGTCGTAATTTTCGCGGCGCAATTACCAACATTAACACTAGCTTCACGTCCGGCTACAGTACGAATGCCAGTGTCTTCGCGCAGCAATCTGGCACGTTTGTAATGACGTCAAGCACCAAAACACAAAGATGGCACTTGCGCGTCACCCTCTTGATCATCTGCTCGCGCCGTGCGGCCCCTATCAACCATTGTACCAGAGAAGCGAGCTAGCGGAGTCTGTAATACAGTGTACCTGCACGCGAGCACAATATATACGCTTACCAAAGGTCAAAGGACTTATCGGACTTCCAATTCTATCATTGCGCCAATACTTTGCCCTGTGAATTGGCTTCAATCGTGCCAGTGAAACGGGAGACAGCAGATGCAAGTTGCACCAATTGCAGTCCAATCCGCTCCTGAGGCGAGCGTGAGTCGACCTCGTGCACCGCGGCGGAGGTGGAGACTGGACGCCAACCAAGCGAAGTTCACTCTGTTCGCTCCGGAGGCATACACGCACAACATGCAGTTGCTGACCGACTTGCTGACGAAGAACCTGCGCCTGAAAAAGAGTTGGACACATGGTATGATTCGGCATCCGATTCGGCGTACGACGATTCACGACACATGGGGAGAACGTACGAGCCGTCAGCGCTCGGTCTCCGCCCATGTACGGCACCTCAGCTGGCACGCTCGGAGGACGTCGTATCCACAGAATAAAGAGCCTCAAATAGTCATGCTTGGTTGTCTGGTAACATTGCCAACAAAGCTACGCCTTCGCGAGCGACAAACATCACCAGAGCCCACAGTCATTCTCGTAGGCCTTGCGATGTTGACGCTCTCGGTAGCGTCGCTTGCATTCCAATGTGAGCTCATTTTTGTGCGCTTTTTGCCAACACGATAAACACTTTTTTACATATATGTGCTTTCAGTCGTTCAACTGGTTTTCTCGACAACCTAGATGTATAGAGCGAAGGTGTGAACAAAGCGGGCCGGTTCAACCATACGGTCGGTGCCACTGTTTTTTTACCTGTGAAATAGCCTGCTATCACTGCTTCATATCTCGTTATTGGTTCGGAAACAGATGTTGCCTTGCAGAAATAGCACACTTCAAGCGTCGCTTTATTTAATAATGAGTTATTTCACGCCATCAACAGCTTATCCAATGTTTTTCATGCCAACGACAACGCTGATATGCACAAATACCACTACGATCGGGGCTATATGGGTGGCGAGGAACAAACCTGCGACGGGCGCCCACCCTTTGTCCCGCACGGATGCGACTGTTGGCATGAACAGCCGTACAGCAAATCATATGCGTATTCTCACCATGTGTCCAGCACTAAAGTGATGCCAACCAAACGTTGAGCCCCACAGGATCAGTGCGCCGCATAGGAAGCAGACAGTGTGATGTATAAATGCCTAGAACACACACACACACACACGCACACACACACACACACACACTCACACACTCACACACACACACACACACACACACACACACACACACATATATATATATATATATATATATATATATATATATATATATATATATATATATATATATCTGTGTGTGTGTGTGTGTGTGTTCTAGGCATTTATACATCACAGCAGAAAGCGCAGTAGCTCGAGTATATATGACACAATAAAACAATAATTGATTGATATGTGGGGTTTAACGTCCCAAAACCACCATATGATTATGAGAGACGCCGTAGTGGAGGGCTCCGGAAATTTCGACCACCTGGGGTTCTTTAACGTGCGCCCAAATCTGAGCACACGGGCCTACAACATTTCCGCTTCCAACGAAAATGCAGCCACCGCAGCCGGAATTGGATCCCGCAAACTGCGGGTCAGCAGCCGAGTACCTTAGCCACTACACCACCGCGGCGGGGCAATAAAACAATAAAGAAGAATTAAATATGTTCCAGTCATGAATACGTCACAGCGAAGATGATCGAGAACCGCCAGGGAAACATACATGAGCAATACGCTCAGCGCAACGCTGCTATATAGGCGATGGTGCGGAAAGGTTTTTTTTTTCTTTTGCGATATAAATTTCAGGCCACTCCCGACGGGTTCTGCCATGGCCGTCATGTTTCGTGTAAAGTCCAAGTTCGAAACATCCCTAACGCTCCGCGATGTTCTACCCGCGGGTTAGAGCGGGTGAAAAACAAGAGAAAAATCATTTTTTCGCGTTACGAGTCCACGCGTGCTCATAATATTATTATTATTGATCATTCTGGTAATAAACTTTCTCAAGATGCAAAAGCCACAGCGCAGGCGTCGACGCTAAGGCACAATCGCGCTGCGTCAATACAGCGACGATATTTAGGTCCAGCGAAGCGAGAGGAGGGGGCAATCTGGTTGCAGGTGCTGTCCACATGTGGCGACCACACCAGATAAGTCGTCCGAAATGTAGGTCACTAATTGCGCCTCTAAAGTGAGGAAAATGGCGGCCTGGTATCGTCGGAGGCCGCATTTGGGACCCACAGTTCAAACGAAAATCCGACACTTCATGAGCCGCCTGGGGCACAGGCCTCCGATTGGCGAACAGACACAAGCACGAAGAGGCCGAAGGCGACAAAGTGGCGTACAAAAAAAAAAGCCGTATAATGACCCTGTCATAGCGCGACAAAAAACCAGAACACACAGAGGAAAACTAAACGAAACAAGAACAATGAGGGGCACCTGCGCACGCAGACCGACTGGGGTCAATCGGACGCGACAGGTCACTCCTATCTGGGCGCTTTTAGGCAGCCTCCTATTCCGCCAAGAACGTGACTCTCAGCGGCCGACGCATTTATCGACATCCCTGCTTTTAAAAGCCCCCACGTTATCTTAAAAGCTAATAAGCTTCGGTTGGAAAAAGAAAAAAAGAGGATTAACGCTTCCGCGCGACCGCCCCTTCCCGACGAATAAGAACACTTGATTGGAGACTTTTTTTTTTCTTTTTGACGCGGGCAGTGCTTTCTGCCTCTGTTATATCGAACTTTTCATTACTATTATCATTCTTTCTTATCACCTCTCACGCACCACTAATTAATGGCGCGCGTCCTTTGAGGAACGGCCGCGTATAGGCTTATACAAGTTCGCGTCGGATAAGCTAACAACCCCGCTTAGGGTTTTCATTTAAGAAGAAAAAACAAGTAGCCGTCCAAAAAGAGCTGTGCTTCTGCGGTTCCGATTATTTACCGAATAAATATGTGAAAGCTGGCATAGATTTTTTACATTGTACACAGATTCAATTGCGCGATATACACATGTTTAGTTTTTAAGATTTCTTTGCAATTTCTGTATTATCATGGTTGCTATTTTTATTTTTTGAATTTGGACTTGATTTTTATATCTTTATTTATTTTTTTATTTTTTATCTATTTGGTTTTTTTATTATTGTTGTTGACTTCACATTGCTGATTGTTTGCTACTGCTGTCGTGCTAAAAGGTAGCTGTGCGCCTTTGTCAAGCTGCCTCTTTTGGAGAGCAGCTTTAACCTGCAGCTGTTCTTCATCAAACTATTGATGAAAAATAAACATTATTATTATTATTATTATTATTATTATTATTATTATTATTATTATTATTATTATTATTATTATTATTATATTATTATTATTATTATTATTATTATTATTATTATACAAAACGTTCCCAGTCAAAGATGGCGATGACGCGTATCGAGTTGTAAGAGCTACCGTATTTATCCAATTCCAACGCACCTCTGATTACAACGGGCAATAACGGCCAATTTACACCCAATTATTGGGAAGAAATGGTTGATAGACCACAAGGACACCTAGTAAAGGTAAGGGCCCAATTTCAGATGGCTCCAGCGATACAAAATGTGACAAGCAGACGTACTACAATGGTTGCCAGCAACACATTAGCGGTCACACCACGCAAAGACCGAAAAGATGGGATTTTAAGGCCTATTTTTTCCGATACAGAGTGCGCGTTACAACCGGGTAAGTACGGTACGGTATACTCTGAGAAAGAAAAATTAACGGGCCGTTCGAATCTCGTACAACTAAAAGTGAGAGTCGCACGTATATAGAGGAGCCCGTTGACTCTCGTTTGGAGAGTATAGTGCAGTGACTCTTCTCTGGAAAGTCGTGCTTCCCGCATGATGAGTCAGCGTGCCTCTCTCTAAAAGGGTGCTACACTTGTGACACTCACACGTAATAAAGGGGAGTCCAGCTCGTTAAATACATCCTCATTTTCCTCTCATCTTACTACCAAGTTGTCACGAACGGGCGAAGGCGAAAACTATGTGCTTTACTCCTCTGAGCCAATGTGTTGATGCTGCCTGAGCACCATTTGAAACGTGGTTCTGGGCTGCCTTCAATACCGAAGGGAACTCACGATCCTCGTCGTATTTTGCGTTGCCCCGCCACGGTGGTCTAGTGGCTAAGGCACTGGGTTGCTGACCCGCAGCTCACGGGATCGAATCACGGCTGCGGCGGCTGCATTATCGATATAGGCGAAAATGCTGCAGGCCCGTAAACTCAGATTTGGGTGCATGTTAAAGAATTCCAGGCGGTCAAAGTTTCCGGAGCCCTCCGCTACGGCGTCTCTCATAATCATATGGTGGTTTTGAGACTTTAAACCTCAAATATCATCTTGTCTTGCGTTGCGTCCGCAATCGGACCACCTTCGAACAATCTACGATGCTATTTGATGACTTCGTGACATGATGTGAATTGGCAGTGACGTAACGATGACGGTACAAACTTGGTAGTTCTTCTGTCCTCGCAAGATTACGTCAATATCTCATCATATACCTTATAGCACTCGTCGCCGACGCTGCATCAACGCGAGACGCCGTCGGTCAGTTCAATGAGGCAGCTAAGGCCTTAACATAGCGAACGAAGAAAGTGGCCTCACCGATGGCGCCTCCAGGGCATCGCTGGACGGCGGTGTCACCGGGGCGTGTCCAGTTCCAGAAGCTGCTGCGCGACTGCATGGGCGGACAGAAGCCTTGGTGCAGGTAGGACGGCACGCCACTTTCCCGGTCCGGGTCCTGGAATCTCCCTGCGATACACACAACCGCGTCGGTTGTCAGCACCTGTCATAGGACTGCCATAGGACCTGTTGCATGCAACGCGCGGAAAAGCTTGCCAACATCAAAGGCGCGATTTGCATGCCAGTGTCCAAACAAGCAGAAGCACAGAATCAATTTTTTTCTTGTTGGGAACGAAATCAAACGAACCAGTAAACATGTATTAAGCTACATGCATGTGTTCGACGTGAAAGCTGCCGGGAGCACTGCCCAGTGATCGGCCCGCCGTTCGGCGACGCCGCCCACTCGAGTTCAACAGCGGCAAAGGAAGTCTTCGTGTGTGATGCAGTGGCACCCTCTCCCTTCTTTACTGCCTCCTCGCTGTTACTTGGTTTCTCAATCATTGCTACAGCACACTACACTTGGCCGTGCTAGGTTTTACCCTTTCCTTTCTCCTCACATGGTGGGACTTTGGGTTTGTTACAGGGGCCAGGTGCCTTGTGAGGCTTTTTGCATTTTCGCTGGTCCCCTTGTCCTTACTCTTTGCTGAAATAAATTTCAATTCAAATTCCTCCTCCCTCTCATTTACCGCCCCTTGCTATATGCATGCCTATTCTGTCTACGGCTTTGTATGCCTGCTGGAAGCAAGCTACACGAGATCACAGGAGACGACAGCTTGGGACGCAATCATTCACCACATTTACCCTATTTACTCGATTCCAGATCACGCTTCTAGCGCGAGGGGTGACTGTTGATTGCATCCAGAGGGGGAAAACAGTATTTTGGTATTCAATTCTAACGCGACAGTCCAATTTACATAGCAAGAACCACGAATAAAATTTGTGTTACATTTCAGTAAGAACGGCAATAAAGGTTCAGGCACGCGTCAAGTTAATGCGACAAGTTACACGAGAAGTTACTGCGACAAGTTGCTGCTTCGTTACGCATCTCGGGATGCCGCACATGCGCGAGCCATTTATAATTGTTTGAAAACGAATATATTTGGCTTTGGACAATTGTGAGGGACGCCGTAGCACAGTAAGCCGGAAATTTCGACAATGTTATCGCACAGTCCAGGGGCGTCTAGCATTTCGCCTCCATCAAAATGTGACCGCCTCCATGGGGATCGAATCCACGACCTGCTAGTCACAAGCCGAACACCGAAACGACGGACCTGTTCGAAAGCGAAAGCCAGGGGTATCGCTGTCAAGGAAAGCGCCCCTTGCGCCCCCTGCCACGGATCTACTGTGGGGAACGGCACCGCCCGAAGATGAGCTCGCAGTCACAGCGGGAAAGGGAACGAGAACCTGGTACCTGCTTCGGCGCATCGGTTCACGCCCCATTCGAAAGTAATTACTGGGTCACCCACAATAAATTTCGCGGGTGAACGCGGAGGCAACGACACATAACGACGCCCGATCGACGCAGCGCTCCCTCTCGGCGGCCGCCAAGCGCTCGTCGGCCATGTGCTCGCGCATTCTAGAGGCGCCCTTGGGGTGTCCCCATATAGAGAAACATACTTACGTGAAGAGCGGACACTCTCGTAGGGCGGGCTACTGTTCAGCACCAAGAGCGTATGGTGAGACCAATGATGTTTTCGGCCTTAAAAAAAAAGGACTTTTTTTTTCCCTTTCCGATGCCGGGATTTCAACCCGTACCCTCAAGCTCCGAAAGCGAGGCCTTACCACTGGGCTGCACACCCATGCTTCCGCAAAGGGAATAAATATACGGTACATGTTCACCGCATGAATGTGCACCCTTTGTTTAAAAAATGCAGAAAGATAACACTTTCTATTCAGACTTCACTAATTTTTGTGGCAGCACATTAAACGACTTCAACAGACACGATGCATAGAGTCAACACGAATTTCTGAAATCAGTAAAGGTTTTGTAATAGTTTTAATGCCAAACTTAAGTCTCATGGTCCTCCTAAGGTGGATATTACATCTATTGACTAAGCACTAGAAGAGAGCATAGGTACGCCACCTAGCGCTTGTTCATACTCTTCACTGCTCGGCTCCGAGAAGGCTTGAGTGAGAAGACAAAAATATTTTTCTCTCGTGTCACTGTGGTCAACCATCCACAGAGGCGTTCAATAGGCAACGCGTATCCTCCTCGCGTATGCAATATTATTGTTACGCTTGCACATGCAAGCTTTTTTTTGTGGCATTTTCGTGTGTTGTTGCAAGAATAACAAAGACGTTGTTAGTCAGCGCCTGTGCTTGTTTCGTCTAGTCTTCGCGGTACGCCTTGGTATGCGCTCAAGGTGTAACGTTAACGCAAGGAACCCGAGACGAGCTTTATTGCTTGTTCTCTATTGTAACAGGAGTCATTTGTTATCGTCTGTCAACCCAGCGTCACTGCTTATACACACAAAATAACTGAGTTATTAAAAAGGTGCAGGCGCATATTGATTGAATCGTAGATCGCACAGGACAAACTGAAAAAAAAAAAGCCCAAACCTGCAAGCGGATTTACACTCGACATGGCGTCTCCGTCGACACGCTATACGAACAGGTGGTGCGAAGTTGTAACCGATTCTCGCTGGTGGAATTGATTAACCCAAATAAGCAAACTTGAGAAGGCATTAACTCGAACAAAAGTGTTCTAACAAGACCACGGGACAAATAACGGTTGTCGTCCAAAAGGAGGGAAAACTGCAACAGTTTGCATGAACAAATACATTGAATGAAAAAGGCTGTCGCGCTAACGGGTGACGGGCTTTATCGTCTCAAGACCAAGAATTCATAACGAGAGGCGCCGTAGCGGAGAGCACCGACAACTTCGACCACTTGGTGTTTTCTAGCGTGCAATAGGAACACGGGTAAGAAGCATTTTCCCTTCCTTAAAAAATACCGCCGCCGTGACCAGAGTTTGGTTGTCATCGGTGAAGCACGATAGATAGCATCTTGGCCATGGCAGCTAGCGTGTTATGCACAGTCGGATATACGAAATGCAGTGGTGAAAAATGTCACATTTTTGCGCACGTAAGTCATTTGCGAATGCCCCCCCCCCCCACCCCGCCCTTTCCCTTAATTTTACGAACCACTCAATCACTGCAAACAGCCGTGCCGGGCGATGTTTTTCAATCGGACACTCTCGCCATAACGAGACCGTCATCTACATTAAGAGAATCATACGCGCAATTATATAAAATAAAGAGGGGCACACCCGCTCGCATCACATAGCGAGCCCCTGGAAAGACGCATGCAAACGAGGCTGGGGCGGCAGCAGTCACGCGACGAGAGCTGCCACACCCGCGACACAAGCAGCAGGCGGTCCTCGTTCGTTTGCGTGCATTGCGTGTTTTCTCCCTCGGGGCGCGGTTCCAACGCGGGCCGGCACGCTCGCACCAGATGGACGGGGTAGCACCAACGAGCCGTCGGGCGACGCACACAGGGGACACGCGCCTCTAATAGCTTTGGCAGGCATCTCACAAACATCGACGGCGGTGGTCCGAGCTCATCAGCGCTGATCGCCAATTAGAGCCAATTACCGGGGAAGGCAGCGATGGGTGCTGGTGCGAGGAGGGTGAAAAGCGGCACATGGCGCGGCTTTTTGCGAGGCAGACTTGAAAGCGCCCAGTGCTCGGCATGGGGAGAGGCTGTTGCGTGCGCTGCTCCGATGGACGGCAGCTGGGCGCCCTCCTCCTCACAGCAGCCGGTTGGCTCGCCGCTACTCGCGCGAAACGGCTCGAGCGGAAGGCTCACTTCGAAGAGGCACTGCGCCGTGTCGCCTGTAGGCGGACAGAAACTAGTTGCCTTCTTCTTTTTCCTCATGAACCACTAACAACAACTTCGAAGCACCCACTGGCGACAGCGGGGTTGCCCGGCACATGGCACAACTCGAGAACTGCTCGCAAACGCTGGCCAATGGTGATGCGAACTTGTTTCAAGATCCTCCGGTCGGGACGACACGCGGTGAACGTAAGAAACGCGAGGCACCGCCGCTACGGTATTTAAAACACACGAGGAACATGAGGAGAGGGAGCCTTGTTCGCAAGTAAAATACGTTTCACTTGTGATCAAGTGAATCACAAATATCACAAATCAAAAGAAATAGAGCATTTCACATGTGATCAGGACTTCACTGTGAACAGAAACGTCATTTCGTGTGTGTGCGTGTGGTTTAAATCTTCACTTTTGTTGGCCGATTGCTTCCCGTGTTCTGCGGTCACCTGGTTAGGACAAAACCGACCGAGAGGCGGGGCGCCGGATCTTCGTGCGTTGCCTACGTCACCCACCCCTTCGCGTTACACGGGAATGCAGCCCCAGCGACCGCTCTGCAGCAGTTGCGACGCTGCACTTTACTAGAGCCTCGGTTCGCCGGCTGCCGCGTGGAAGAAGGCGATAGAGCCGCCGCTGGTTGTTTTGGCACGGAGTCCGCCGCCGCGAGCGGAGCCGACTAGGGGCGGCGGAGTCCAGCTGTGGCGGTATGGAAATGACCGGAGAACCTGAATTATCGTCGCCGCCTCCTCTCGAACATTGTTTTACTATCCTCGCTCGGCGCCCCTAGGCTGGCGACCCCCGTAAAGATGCGCCAAGTGAAAAGATGGCCGACGCTACCTTCCCGAGAAGTTGACGTTTCTCCGAAGCTCCCAACACTGAGCATTCAGCTCAAATAAATCCTCATTCTACGTCAGTTGTTACGATACTCGACCGGTGACCCGAATATCGCCACAGCGTCCGCATTTTCGACGAAGGCAGGAATGCTTTGAGGCCCGTGTACCGATACTTAGCTGTAGAAACTACCGTGGTAGACATTTCCGGAACCCTGGCGCCCTTACTCAAATTACCTGACAGGCTCCTACTTCGGAGTATTGTGTGAGGGGGGTTACATAAGTAGGGGTAACAATAACTGGAGCATGTGAACTTTATACAATGCTTATTGACGTAGAACAGAATACTGAAAAAAAAGAAAAAGAAAAAAATGGAAACAAAAAACTTCCTTATACAACAGGTAAATAACACATCAAATATAAAATATTGCCGTTACCTCGGTCCTGAATTCGCCTGCAGTTCGAATGTTAACG